GGGGAAACTCGAGAAATGCGGCCCCAAACGGGGGTGACGTTTCTGGGACCCGTGACGATTCAAAAGGCATGGCGCAAAACTAGGCAAAACTTGTCAAATTGATTTTTTGGAGGCACCATCGGCCGAACCAGAAAACAGTCACCACATTCAGACCATGTTGGCCTCACGCTCGGCAACCCGAGCATGGAGCGTCTAGAACTTACCCAAATCCGCCGAACCTGTCGGCGTGCGGAAGACGCATCCCGGTGTCGTCGTCTTGCGTGGATCACCGTCGTCGTTGCCGTCGCCGTCGTCGTCGTCGTCATCTTCGTCGCCCGAAATAAAAGGAAATCGAAACCGAAACATGAGGAAATCGTAGTCGTGGCGAAGCCCCTCCCTGCCCTCCCCACCGGAGGGGTGGGTGGGGTGGGGGGGGGGGTGGGGGGGGGGTAGGGGGGGGGGGGGCAGATACGCATCCCCCCGGGCGACCCTCCCTCCCTCACCCCTCCCCCTCCTCCTCCTCCTCCCCACCTCCTCCTCCTCTCCTCCTCCTCCTCCTCCTCCTCCTCCTCCTCCTCCTCCCCCCTCCTCCCCCCTTCCCCTCCTCCTCCTCCTGCTCCTGCTCCTCCTCTTCCTCCTCCTCCTCCTCCGCCACGTCTTCATTTACATCCGACGTCCTATCACGCATCCCGTCACCCTCGAGGGCCGAGGTATCCAAGGTCGGCGGCACTGGCCGTAAGGCTTTAGCAATATGTGGCCCGTGAGTGAACCTGGGGAGGGCGAGAGGTGACGGCGAACGCGCTGACCTCCCTCTTGCAAAGAAAAGGATCCCGAGGCGATCCAGGACATGCGTAACGAAACGAAGCTCGTCGGAAATATGGTTCCAAACTGCCCCGACGTTGTTTGCGGGCCCGCAGGAGCAGCCGCACAAACATCCCGCCAATCCTGTCGGCACATGTGGCTGCGGGTACGATCTCATCCGTGACAGCCCCCTCCTCCACCTTCGGGGGAAGACTGACCCCTCCCCCTATGACTGGTCTGGGCGGGGGGGTGTCTGGAGATGTCGGAAAACTGGATGTGGCCCAGTGTGGCTCCAAAATGATGATCGGGCGTTGGCAGAACTGGGTTTAGAGGAACCTGGTTTAGAGATCTGTACCGGGGGCGCCCCCCCGTCCCATTTCCACTAACCGGAACTGCCGTCACCCGAAAAAACACCAATTACGGCAAACCTGGTTCAGTGAATCTGGCCAATTGAGAGGCCCCAGGGCCCTACCACTAACCGGGTCCCCTTACCCGGGGTCCTGGCTATACCCGAGATGAATCCCAGATGCCCCGAGATGGCCTCGGAGAAAACACAGGGCCGCCAAAGATCATTCAAGGTGGCCTCCAGCGTGATTCAAACATACCTCAAGCCCGCTGCTTGTTGTGCTGGTCCTCTTCTGCCAGCCCGCGTCTCACGAAGGTCGTCAAAGCAAAGAAATGTGAGCTGCGCCCCGAATTGTGACCGTGCGCAAGCACCCATGCGCATGGAATCAACGTTGACAATTGGTTCGGAATCCGTGCAGCTGGAAGCATGCCCCCCCTTCCGCGTGCCCATGCCTGGAGTACCTCCGCCGCCTGCTTCTGCAAGATAGACACGTGCAGTGGGTCTCTGGTGAAGTGGCATGCTCCGAGGCCGACAAGGTGCTGGCATCCCGTTAACCCGACCCTTTCGCCGACGGTGTGAGACCCGAGGCCGCGGCCGCGTCCGGGTTCCATCCACGTGAAAGCATGCGAATCGAAAGCTGCCAGAGCTAAGAGGTGCGTCAGTCTAGGATCGGAAGGATCCAGTCCTGACGGCCTGAAGCTTGGGAAGGCCATGCCAGCAATGCTGGTGGTCGTGTTGATACCTGCCGTTCGGAGGAAGCGGGTCGAAACACGAAGGCGGTCAAGCTACGTTGGGTTGCGGCCCACCCCTGGATTAGCATGAGCATGGAAGGCCAGTCGATTGTTGAAGTGCTCGGGCGATGACAGCAGCTGGGGATCTGACAATCCTCCGACCCCGTCGCGTGTTCGAGGGGGAAACTCTGGGCTCGTCGTCCCCCGCGCGGTCCCCGGGAGAAGCCGTTCCAGCGGGGCTCGCCCTCCCTTCCCGGGCGGCCGCCGTTGGCCCTCCATGCTCGCCCACCAGAAGAGGATCGAGCCAGGACGCAATCGAGATCGTAAAGGAATCGAAGAGGAGCCCCTTCCCTTTCCTCCCTTCCCCGCCGGGGGGGGGGGGGGGGGGGGGGCGGTGGGATCCCCCAGGGGGTGTCCAAGAAATCCTGGGGGGGGGGTCCCAAGCCAGAACGCGGTCCCGCCCCCGCCCCCTTTCGGCCAGAATCTCGCAACAAGGGCCCTTGCTCGGCATCAGGGGTCCAAGAGACCAAGAAGAGCCTGGAACAGTCCGAGAACGCTCCAACACAGCCCACGATGCCTCAAGAAGTCCCAAGGAATCGCCAAGGCGCCCCAAAAGGGCCCCAAGAGGAACGCCACACATGGCACAGATCAGTGAGATCTCTCGACCGCCGAGGACGGCCCACAGCAGGCCCTAAGTCCACCTCAAAACAGCCCAAGGGACCCCCGGGAGGATCCCACAACACCCCAACGGAGACCCAAGACGGCCTCAGGAGCTCTCCAAAGACGGCCCAAGAGGCTCCTAAGAGGCCCTCGGCCCTCGAGAGGGGCTCCAGAGGGGAACCCGAACTGCAACGTCGAGTCATTCCTCCAAACGTAGCCTCCGAAACACCGCCAGCAGGCCCCCCAAAGACCCACAAGACCCCCACAAGACCCCCAAGAGAAATCAAACCGACTTCTAAAAGACCCCTCTACGACCCCGCGACCCTCCCGCGGCCTTTTCTCCAGATCCTCCTCCAAGGTCGGCAGAACCGGCTGCAAGGCCTCCCGAATACCTACCCTGAATCAGCGACGGGGACACTAGGCAGACGGGATCGGCCTCATGAGTGCCGGGCAGTGGCTCTTCGTTGATGCGCGATCTGGCCAAAGGGAGCGAATTTTTCGACAGCGGCTGAGGAACCTCAGTCCAGTAGCTCGACCCCCACATCTTGTACCGGTGAGGCAACAAAAACAATATGACCTTGTGAAGACGGCGTTGATAATTCTGCCTTCATCCATGCGACTCGTGCGCGGCGTTGCACTGCGATTCAAGGTAAGCCTGATACACCACGACTAAGCACCGAACACGTGGACAGCCGTGGCCTCTTTCATGAAAATGGCAACCAGATACAGACCAAGATAGGCGATCCGCGAGCGTGCCTTACGCACGCATGGAGGAGCCCCAGTGCTCATGCAGCTGTAAGCGTTGGGCGTTAGGTGGATCGCAGGGTTCTCGAGGGCCCAGGCATCTCGCGGGCCCGAATCCCTGGAAATCCGAAGGGAAACGGAGATCGTTTTTTCAGCACTTCGGGTAAGCCACGGCCGTTGCCCAAGGGTGGGGAGGGGTTGGGGTCACCGGTAACGGCAACGCTTGGGAGGGGTGGGGCACGTCTGGGCGGGGGTTCTCTGGGATCGCCACATCTTGCGCGCGGGAACCAGCCTTGGGGCGGGGGGTCCAAGCCCCCCCCCGTCTAGGTCCGGTCGTTACCATCAGCCCAGGGGGGGGAGGGGGCTGTGGGGGGGGAGGGCTCAGGTGCAGGACGTGACGCGCCAGAGGACCGAAAAGAATCTTCGGAGATCCCGCGGAGCCCCATCCCCGGAAATTTCAAGGGTATGGCGAGAGAGCCCAGCATTGTGCTGAAGAGCCAACGCTCTTCCGACTTCTGCGCGTGCCTCCGAGGACGCACCTGGCTGGGCAATTCGCCTCTGCCATCCTACAAGAGAGGAGATGTTGGCCCAAGGCGGCCCACGATGGCCTCAAACACTACCCAAGAGCGTCCAAGAGGTCTCCACGTTCGCCCAAGGTGTTTCCAAGACGGCCCAAGATGGCCTCAACGCAACCGATGAGGCGCCCAATATGCTGCATCTCCTGATCCGCTCTCTTCCTTCTCCAAGTGTTCCCCCAAAGGGTTCCCAAAACTGCTGCGGAAACACAACCTTCCAATAGCTTTGCCAAGCTTTGACCCCAAGGTTTGGCCGCGGAGGCGCTTCCAAACGGCAGGAGGCAGCGGCGGCTCGCCATAGGCGTCTCCGATACCACCCCCAAAAGGCTCATGCCTGCTCCCGCCCACGCCTGCCCAGCGCCGCGGAGGCGCGTGGATGCGAGGGCGCGACGCGCTGCTTAGGCGCGCCAGGGAGAGGTTATCCTGGAGATCACTGGGGACGCCCAAGTGGGGCCAGAGCAGATTGGGTCGCAGAATCGCACCGCAACGCCGATGCACCGCCGATATCCCAGCGACGTCGGGCTGGAGAACATCGGACTCCAGATCGTGCCGCATGGCCAATGCATCGGCGATGCGGCACGGTCCTCCGACCCCATCTGCCCTGGCCCCATTTGGGAGGCCTGGAGGTCATGCCCGCTCCAACCCAAAAAGAACAAAAAATTGCCCAGGCTACGCTAGCCAACTCTGGCTCCACCCCCGCGACTCGTGCGCGGCGCCGCACCCAGGCTGGCAGCGAAACGTCTGCGCCACGACTACAACAAAAAACAGCTCCTGGCTGTGATCTCTGTCTCGAGAAGGCGGCAGGCAAGTTCGGAGACACGGCGCAGTTCCCGCGCCAAGGCAGGCGACGCCCCAAAGCTCATGCCTGCTCCCGCCCGTGCAGCTCAGCGCCGCGGGGGCGTTTGGCGCACGGACGCGGCGCACTCCTTAGGCGCGCCAGGGAGAGGTTGCCTCGAAGGGTCCTGCCCGCTCCGACAAAGCCCACCGCCGGGGGCGACCAGACAGGCCCCCAAAAAGCGCGCGCGGCCCCTCAGGGCGCGCCGAGACCGAATTCTCCAAGCACAAGGCGAGCCACAGCATTGCCTGCACGCCACGGGCGCCCTCGGGGAATGCTCGGATGGCCCCATTGGCCCCCTCGGGGCACCACGAACCCAGGCACCCCACTCACGAAGGCACGCGAGCGTTGTTCTCCTCCCCTGGCGACCCTTTCGTCGCATGAGCGAGGAACTTCTCGCCGCCGCCCTCCTCCGCATCGCCGCCCGCGTCGATGTACGAGCTCACGGCGCCGCCGCCGTCGGGGCCGCCGCGGCCGTGGGCCGACACCGTCTTCCGCAGCGTGCGCCACAGGCACAGGGCCAACAGGGACCCGCCAGCGGCCACGGCAACAACACCGAGCTCCATGCTGCTCGACTCGGTGCCCGCGTGCGCCTCGGCCCCAGCGGGCTCGGCGAGCGGCGCCGGCCCGCCCGACCGGACGCCCACGCCTCGAAGGGTGCCCGGTGCCGCCGCCAGCGCCGAAGCAGGCCCGTCAGACCCCGTGGCCTCCTCCAGGAGCTGCCGAGGGCGTCTTGCCTGCGAGGAGGAGGAGGAGGAGGAGGAGGAGGAGGAGGAGGAGGAGGAGGAGGAGGAGGAGGAGGAGGAGGGGGAGGAGGGGGAGGAGGAGGAGGAGGAGGCGGCAGAGGAGGTGGAGGAGGAGGAGGAGGAGCAGGAGGAGGTGCCGCAGCTGGCGCCGGCATGCACAATCTCCACCCACCTCTCGACGGTGCGCCGATGGGGGGGGACATGAGAGTGGGCCGCCCTTCGCAGAGGGCAGCAAGACTTCTCAGAAGCCCTCCGGCCTTCTGAGAGGCCCCTGTGCGGCTCTGGGTAAGGCACAGAGAGCTTCCAAGAAGGCCAGAGGCCTTCTGAGCCTCCTGCAGAGAAGGCCCACACCCTTTGCCTCCCCCCCTGGACGCGACGCCGAACCTCTCTGCACACTGAAGTCGGACGACCACACCATGCTTCCCGTCGGGGTGACACCATCGGGACCCGAAGTTCCAGAGAACGTCTCTCTGTCGACGACGAGGTAATCGAAGTACGACTCCACATCGAAGCTCTCAACGACGATCGGCGCTGCGATCGCCTCGTCGATCTCAACCGTGCACTTCTGGTTCGCACCGTAGTTCTGCGGATAGTTCGCGCTCTGCACACAGTTGCCGTCCAGCGTGCACTGGCCGACGACGGCCGCCCACATGTGCTGGGGAGCGGGCGTTGGAGGGATAGTCGCCGTCGTTGGTGCCGCAGTCGGGGCAATTATCGGTGCCGCTGTTGGAGAAGCGGTCGGTGATGCCGTCGCCGCAGCAGTTGGTGCAGTCGTCGGTGAAACTGTCGGTGAAACTGCTGGGGTTGGCATGCACAACTTCCACCCGCCCTTCTGCACACTGAAGTCGGATGTCCACACCATGCTCCCCGTCGGTGTGACACTATCTGGGCCCGACGTTCCAGAAAACGTCTCTCCGTTAACGACGAGGTAATCGAAGTACGACTCCACATCGAAACTCTCAACGACGATCGGCGCTGCGTTCGCCTCGTCGATCTCAACCGTGCACTTCTGGTTGGCACCGTAGTTCTGCGGATAGTTCGCGCTCTGCACACAGTTGCCATCCAGCGTGCACTGGCCGACAACGGCCGCCCACATGTGCTGGGGAGCGGGCGTTGGCGTCGGGGACGGAGCAGTTGGTGCAGCCGTTGGTGCCGTAGTCGGCACAGCTGTTGGTGACGCTGTTGGGGAAACTGTCGGAGATTCGGTCGGCGCAGTGGTCAATTGCGAGGTCGGTGCTGCAGTCGGAGCGGCAAATGGTGAAGCGGTGGGTGCTGCTGTCGGTGCAGAACTCGGTGCTGCTGTCGGTGCAGAGCTCGGTGCAATCGTTGGTGCCGCAGTCGGCTCTACTGTTGATGCCACTGTGGGGGAAGCAGTGGGTGATGAGGTCGGCGTAGCAGTCGGGGATGTCGTCGGTGCTGCTGTTGGCGCGGCTGTCTGTGCAGCTGTCGGCGCTGGCGTCTGCGGCAATGTCGTCGTTGGTGGCGGTGCAGGCGAGCACAACCTCCACCCGCCCTTCTGCACACTGAAGTCGGATGTCCACACCATGTTCCCCGTCGGTGTGACACCATCGGGACCCGAAGTGTGCGAAAACGCAACTCCGTTGACTGTAAGGTAATCGAAATACGACTCCACATCGAAACGTTCAACAATGATCGGTGCCGTGTTCGACTCGTCGATCTCAACCGTGCACTTCTGGTTGGCACCATAGTTCTGCGGATAGTTCGCGCTCTGCACACAGTTGCCGTCCAGCGAGCACTGGCCGACAACGGCCGCCCACATGTGCTGGGGAGCGGGCGCTGGCGTCGGGGACGGAGCAGTTGGTGCAATCGTTGGTGCCGTAGTCGGCACAGCTGTTGGTGACGCTGTTGGGGAAGCGGTCGGTGATTCGGTCGGCGCAATAGTCGGTGCAGTGGTCAGGTGTGCGGTCGGTGCTGCAGTCGGAGCGGAAGATGGTGCAGCTGTCGGCGCACTCGTTGGTGGTGCAGTCGGCGCAGCAGTTGGTGCCTCGGTCGGCAGCAGCGTCGGTACTGGTGTTGGGGAAGCGGTGGGTGCTGCTGTCGGTGCAGAACTCGGTGCTGCTGTCGGTGCAGAGCTCGGTGCAATCGTTGGTGCCGCAGTCGGCTCTACTGTTGATGCCACTGTGGGGGAAGCAGTGGGTGATGAGGTCGGCGTAGCAGTCGGGGATGTCGTCGGTGCTGCTGTTGGCGCGGCTGTCTGTGCAGCTGTCGGCGCTGGCGTCTGCGGCAATGTCGTCGTTGGTGGCGGTGCAGGCGAGCACAACCTCCACCCGCCCTTCTGCACACTGAAGTCGGATGTCCACACCATGCTCCCCGTCGGGGTGACACCATCTGGTCCAGAAGTGTGCGAAAACGCAACTCCATTGACTGTAAGGTAATCGAAATACGACTCCACATCGAAACTTTCAACAACGATCGGTGCCGTGTTCGCCTCGTCGATCTCAACCGTGCACTTCTGGTTGGCACCATAGTTCTGCGGATAGTTCCCGCTCTGCACACAGTTGCCGACCAGCGAGCACTGGCCGACAACGGCCGCCCACATGTGCTGGGGAGCGGGCGTTGGAGGGGATGCCGGAGTTGGCAGGGGTGCTGGCGCGGGGGAGCTAGACATCCCCAGCAACTCGTCAATCCAGTCACGTACGTAGCTGACCCGAGACCAGACTCCGGGGTACTGCTCCATGGCGCACCCGTAGCCCCACGATGTGGCTCCGTGCAAGACGTAGGAAGCGCCGCCAGACGCACAGACGAGCGGCCCACCACTGTCTCCCTGGCAGGCGTCGGTGACGTCCCCGGCGCTGTTGACGCCCTGCGCGCAAAGCATGTCATCTGTGATCGCCGCACTGCCATGGGCAGCACCGCAGTCCAAGTTGCTGAGGATGCTCACCTGCGCTTCCTGCATGGAGTCAGGGGAGGGCCCTCCAGAGGAGAGGGTCCCCCACCCGGTGATGAAGCACTCCGCGCCGTCAGCGACATTCTCATTGGGCAAGCATGCTACCCCGATGCACTCATTCAAGGGTGCGCCATCGACCAACTCCACCAGGGCAAAATCGTATCGCATCGTCGAGCTGTCATAGTCTGGATGCGAAAACACTTCCTTCACCTGCAGGACCACCTCGGCCGCATCTGTTGTGGACTTGCTGAAGCTGCCCGCCACGATGGAGAACGACCATCCAACACAATGGGCAGCAGTCAGGACCCAGTTCGAGGCGACGAGTGTTCCTCCACAGAAGTGCCCGTAAGAAGACGACGAGAGGGAAACCTGCCACTTCCACTCGCACGGCGTGGCGTCTTGCCCACCCACGATGCGCTCGCCACGTCGCGTTTCCCACAGAGTGTAGTCGGTGCCCTTTTCGCCGCAGACCGGCGCGGGCGTCAGTGGCGGCACGGTCGGTGCAGTGGCTGGTGTTGGCGAAGCAGTCGGTGATGCTGGAGGCGCAGCAGTTGGTGCTAGGATCACCAAGTTGACAGTGGGTGAAGAGGTCGCGCCATTCGTGATACAGCCGATGCATGTTTTGGCAGTCAGGAGATCCCACCTCTCTGCAGTAGTCATAGACCCAGCCGTTGGATGCGCCTCGTACATCCTCGCAGCGAGCCCCGATACGTGTGGGCAAGCCATGGACGTGCCGGTGGCGTACCAAGTGTGGGTGTCGCTGAGTGGCCCCGTCGAGAGGACCCCCGTGCCTGGAGCATAGACATCGACGCAAGAGCCCCAATTGCTGTACGAAGATCGGTCCCATGAGTCCCCCCAAGACCCACCAAAAGCTGCTACCGTGATTGCCGACGGAATGCCTGCGGGATTGAAGCCGCACGCATCCTGGTTCGAGTTCCCTGCAGCCACCACCACGGTCACGCCATCGGCCACCAACGCGTCTATCGAGGTCTGCTCCGAGGCGCTCGTGCCGGCGCCCCCGAGACTCATGCTGACCACCGCGGGCCTGTTCCCAGACGACAAGATCCACTGCTCGGCTAGAATGGACCATGTGCTCCAGCCGGAGCCCTCATCATCCAAGACCTTCATGGCCCAGACCGTCGCGCCGTCCGCGACGCCGTATGTCGAAGCTCCCACCGTGCCCGCGCAGTGGGTGCCGTGCCCCTGGGCGTCAGCAGCGCACGCCGTGCTGAGGGGCGAGCACAGCGTCACGTAGCCAGGGTACGCTCCTGGCCCGAGACACGCACGAGTGACGGGCAGGCAAGGGTGACCTCTGGTGCGCAGCTTCTTCAGGGAGGGGGGCGCGGGGGTGCCAGACCCGAGCGCGCAAGCCGCTGCTATCGCAGCGCATGAACTATCAGGAAACACCAGAAGGTCCGCACATGTCCGCACCAAAGGTCACTCCGGCGAAGGATCACTCTTAAGTGTAGTCGACCTGAGGCGGCCACGTCCACTCCAGCGAAAGCCCGGCCGCCGAACTCGTTGTGGGTTATGCGAATGCCAGTGTCCAGCACGTACACATGTACCCCCGCACCTCGCCCTCGGACCACGTCCGCTTCGACGTACTGGATACCCCATGGGTAGGTCTGCCGCTCCAGTGGTAGCTCGTCTGCCACGAACGGCTTCATGTCTGGGACCCTTTTTAGGAACTGGTCCTCTTGTACAAACCTGACACGACCCGTGTACTTCGCCAGTAGCGCATTGAGGGCTGTTTCCGTCGCGCTCCCCGCCACAAACGGCATCTCACCTTTGCCTGGATGGCTCCGCTGCCCGTTGCTGAACTCCTGGCTTATGCCGCGCAACTCCTCATCTGTAGCATCGTCCGCCAGCACAATCGACCACTGGCGCTCCGCCCCAACGTCGACTGCCCTTGTGGAGATAGTGTAGATGGGCACAGCAGACATAGGCATTGGATTTTCCGCTGTGACGAGCTCCACCACCACTGCGCACACAAGTGCCACTCGGGCGGGTGCCCATCCGGCCCACCAGGCGGCCCTCATGGAGCTTGCGAGTGCAAGTTGTGACGATCTGGGGGTGCACCCTCGGGAAAGCTCGCCCGAGCAAGCAAGCAAGCACTATAGCTTGAGCGCAAAAACTGCTGCGGAGGATCGCAGCATAGACTATTGCCAGCGACCCGACACAAGAACAACAAAAATAGTGACTCTTGGCGGCCCGGTGCGCGGCGCCGCTGACGCTCCGCCCAGAATCACACCCACACACACACACAATTTATTCGGTCGGCGGCTAGGCAGAGTGACTGCGCTGGCGGATGGGGCAAATGTAGGGCACGGCGCGGGCGTGAGGGAAATCACACACACACACGTACAACACACACGCAACCAACACGACACCGCTGCCTGGGCGCTGCCCTGCACCGCTCGTCGACCTCTCGCCTGCTAAACATAGACGATGCCCGCCTGGGGGGAGGGTCCGCCCCAGGGGCGATGCGCGACCGGATCTCGACTAACCAAAGAATGGCCCCGAACTCTTTGGGAGGGGACCGACATCCCTCCGCGAAACTTAACGCAAATTTTCTCACGCCGCGCTGGCGCCCCCACACGCTGGAACACGTGACCTCAAATTTCCGATGGCGTCCGCGCGCCGCGCCGCGCGTGCTACTGAACATTGAAATTGGGGGCGAAGGGGGGTCGGCAAAACTTGGGTGAAGTTTCGCGGAAATTTATGAGTTCGGAGGGCCAAGAACATTGGAACATTAGGGATAGGGTCTCTCTTCTGCAGATGCATCGAGGCTAACCGCCCAAGACTTATGATTCTTGACGCGAAGACGGGGACCTTAGTGCGGCGGGGTTCTTTTATCCTCGATGGGATTTGTCCAATGCTGGTGGCTTCGGCAAACCTCCTGCCCAAACGACGTGGGCCGGCTTGCTGACACCGCGCGATCCGCTCTCCGGCTCAGAACGGCCTCCTCTCTCGGAGGCCCCTCGAAAGCTCACGAGTCCCACCCGTCGTAGGGACTTCGCACCGCGGGCTGTGCCCTGTAGGCCCTGGGCTCTCAAGCTGACCCCTGGAGGTATTCGGCCTTGAAGGACCGCGCCCGCGTCGCCGCCGCATCGAGGCGGCACACGCCTTCCGCACCAACCCCCCCCCCCCGCCCGCGTAGGCTCGCAACCTCCACTGGGGCCTGCGGTGGAGCTCCCTATGGAGCCTCGAAGCGTGTGAGAGGTGTGCTGGCGAGTGTGCCGGCATGGGTGGCGCGGACACATGTGGGCATACCCACGGGGGCCTTCGGTGGAGCTCCCTATGGGGCCACGAATCATGTGAGAAGTGTCCCGAAATGGAAGGCGCAGACGCATGTGGACACCGCCACTGGGGCCTTCGGTCGAGCTCCTTATGGGGCCACGGAACGTGTGAGGGGTGCGCTGAACTGGGTGGCGCGGACGCATGTGGGCACACCCAGTGGGGCCTTCGGTGGAGCTCCCTACGGGGCAACGAAAAATGTGAGAGTTGTGCCGGCATGGATATCGCGGACGCATGTGGACACCGACACTGGGGCCTGCAGTGGAGCTCCCTATGGGACCACGCAACGTGTGAGGGGTGTGCCGACATGGGTGGCGCGGACGCATGTTGACACACCCATTGGGGCATTCAGTGGAGCTCCCTATGGAGCCACGAAGCGTGTGAGGGGTGTGCCGAAATTGGTGGCGCGGGCGCATGTGGACACCGCCAGGGCCTTCGATGGAGCTCCTGATGGGGCCACAATACGTGTGAGGGGTGTACATGCATGGGTGGCGCGGACGTACCTGGACACCGCCAGTGTTGCCTTCGGTGGAGCTCCTCATGGGGCCACACAACGTGTGAGGGGTGTACCGACATGGGTGGCGCGGACGCACGTTGACACCGCCACTGGCAACTGGAGCCCTCGGTGGAGCTCCCTATGGGGCCACGGAGCGTGTGAGGGGTGCGCCGAAATGGGTGGTGCGGACGCATGTGGACATCGACTCTGGGGCCTTCGGCGGAGCTCCCTATGAGGCCACGAAACGTGTGACGGGTGTGCCGAATTGGTGGCGCGGACGTACGTGGACACCGCCGCTGGGGCCTTCGGTGGAGCTCCTCATGGGGTCACGAAACGTGTGAGAGGTGTGCCGGCATGGATGGCGCGGACGCAGGTGGACACACCCACTGGCAACTGGAGCCCTCGGTGGAGCGGTGTGCCGACATGGGTGGCGCGGGCGCATGTGGACACCGCCACTAGCCACTGGGAGGAGGGAGGAGGAGGGAGGAGGGGGAGGGAGGGGGAGGAGGAAGGAAGGAGTGACGCGGGGCGCTCTCTTCAAAACGAGGATCACAGGATGGTTGGGAACAAATGAATCACAATTGCGTCAGCCTCATGCTCCTACAGCGGTCTGACTTACCCTTACGGTCGAAGCCTTCAGGGAACACTGTCAAACACTGAGCAGGCTCGCTGTCCTTTCTACAACATTTATGTTGAACGTGTACGTCGTTCCCTCGGTATGGCCTCCTCCTTGCCTGTGATGTATTCCAGGCTTTATGTTGGTGATGCAGAAGTTGTTGTTGATGTTGATTTCCTCCTCTCCCCTTGAGCTGACAGCTACGTTACTCTGTGCCCGCCAAGCTTGCTCTGATAGGATGTGTCTTTCTGCGCTTCCTGTTCTGCACGCGCCGCTCAACTTGTGTCGCGCTTCGCTAAGCAGGAGAGCCCGTAATCGAATCGACAAGTCGGATCGACGATCGAAATGAATCGGATCGGCGGAAGTCGACAGCGAAGTCGGGCGAAGTAGAATCGGCGGAAATCGACAGGCGCCTCCAATAAAGAATCGGAATCCAAATCGGAATCCGAAATCGAATCGGACCGGTATCGCAACTCCTCGCACTCGGACCGAATCGACTCGGAGGAACCAACACGCGCCCCGGCGAAGTCGGAAGCCCACCTCTTTGGCCCCGTCGCCGGGAGAACGCCACGGCCCTGCTGCCCGTGCCTGGCCCACGCGCAGGCAGCAAACAAAAAAACGACGACGGGTCCCGGCGCCGCCCAAGCGGCAGCCGCGAGCCGCCCCCCTCTCGCGCCCCCCCCCCCTCTTCGAGCGGCAGCGGCGGCCTCCAGCCTCCGGCGGTGCCGCAGCAGGCGCCGCATCTTGGTCCTGGGCACGCCGCCGCCGCCGCCAGTGGGCCGCGGCGGCCGCGCCCGCGTCGCCAAGTGTCGTCGGCTTCGCAGGCGCCGTCGTCGTCGGAGGGGGGAGAGGGATCGGGGGGGGGGGAGGGCGGAAGGGAGAGGGGAGAAGAGTGACAAGGGAGATGGCGGGAGGAGGAGGAGGCGGAGGAGGAGGAGAAGATCTTACACTGACAGTGTGACAGAGATTGTATCTCCACTGCCGTCCTGGTCCTTTCAGTCTATGGTTCGGCATCTGATGGACCCCCGTGCGAAGGGGGCGGCGCCGCTATAGCAGCAGAGGGCGTTCAAAGTCGGACGCGCCAGCCAAATCCATCAGAAGAAATACACGAACTCTCGTCTGCAAGTCCTGACTTTCACGTGGTTGCCTTCAAAGTAGACGCGAATAATCATGTTGCTCACGTTCTCATTTCTAAAGTGGGTTCTGCACCGAATGGAGGTACGATAGTGACCACGTCGTGCTGTACCAAGGCGTCGATGGAAAGGTGACTTGTGCTTCCTACATAGATTCATGGATTGCAGGTCCCTCAGTCTGCTTGTTTTGAAGATCTACTTTGACGAGGTTTCCACTGCTGCGTATATGCCACTGATCGGTAAACCGAGGTGCAGCGTGTACGTCAGCCGTATCACGACAAGATCTGCATCTAGTGTATTGCCTTTCGCATGGCAGACGAAACACATACCCAAAATTGCATGTTTTGGGAGATAGTGGACTAAAGTGTTCTGCATTATTATGGATACTTGTCTCTTGGATACGTTCGGGGCAAAGCCTGATTACCGAATGATCTGCGGCTCTGCCTGCTTTGGGAAGTGTTTGATACATACGCCCTTGCACATACACAGCGGGGAGGTACAGCCCTCATCATAACCTTATTATGATTGATTGGGCTTCCCATGAGTTTATTGGAGCTCAGATTTGAGGCAATACATTCGAAAAAGAACAGGTCATTATTACTACTATGGAGACTTTCTATATTTGACCCGTCCGTGACTGATACATGTCTGCCCAGCAGCCGATCAACATCCCAGCGGAATTCCAGCTTACTCTGGGCCTCTTTCGAACCCAAGTGCGAGCATACTTGAAGACACCGGTCGGGGAGAAGACCACATTCTTGTAATCACTGTTTCGAGGCCGTTGTGGCCACAGAGCTACAGGCTCATGAGCGGGTGGACCTGTTGCTAGGTGGCTACAGGACTGCAAGGTTCTACGCGCACACTGAACCAACACTGTTTGGAAATCCAGCAGGAGAATGCGATACGTTAAGCTGCTGGCGTCCAGCTGCGCGCACAAGTTGCCATCGTGTTTCGTCCTCTGCAAGACCTCTGAGTTGCATGGTCCAGCCCAGGAGTGCGCCTTCATTGACTTCGTGCGCCCCCTGGCGAACACTATCCAGAAGACCACTGGGATTACAATACATTTAACGCGTGGGTCTTCTCTTGCTGCTCCAAAATATCGCCGACGACGGTCGCAAGACAGGAAAAACCGTCTGCGGCGTTCAGGTGGCCTTTTACACATAATGGATACGGCGATCTTGCAAGAGCTATGCATGAGGCGCGCTGCAACGCGATGTACGACATGTGGGATCATGTGGGAATTATCAAACGCAGATGTGCAACATCCACAGCTTCTGCAAGCAACGATTCCCACAAGCTTACCGGACATTCCGCCGCGAGGAAGTTGGTGACGCACCAAGATCGTGCAATACGTATGGGCATGACTCTTTCTGGTTACTGTTACATGTTGGTGGTTAAGGCAACAAAAAAACTGACTGGACTCTTGCACTACGAACACAATCGCTCACACTCGACATATTGCACATGTTATGGAACCGTGCACAACAGATCAGAGAA